CGAGTACCGCAGAGTTGATTACCGGCAACGAGATCTAGCTATTACTTTTCAGAACGGCTATAGTACATTGCTTCCAGCGCATTCACAAATTTAATTAATATAATTTACGCAAGATTATAGTTTATTCTAGCTGCACACAAAATGATATGATTTACCTAACATGTGATATGTAATTGACCCCATTGCAGCAACGATCCGAATGTGCATCCATAAGTGATCCGATTCCTACACAAACGAAGTTTTTTATGGACGACATGTCCGTGTCACATATTAATAAAACGTACATCGACTCGTTGTACCCATTTAATGAAAATCGCTGGTGTTGATGTTAATCTAGCCGAGCAGGCTGCGAAGCGTGTGGCCAAGACCTGGCGGGTCAACAGGGTAAGCTCTACTTGGCTTTCTTAAGATGATCAACTACTCAGCCTGTGAAATTCCCCCTATGGATGGAATCGACAATGACTCACGACATATTTCGCGCATACATAGATAGCAAATTTTGACACTCGCAGAGGATGTTTTGAGAGTACTGCGTAAACAGCTTTAGCAAGCTATTGAAGTATTGGAGATTGGCCTACCACAATTGCTCAGCTGTTTTCGAAAGCCGAGTGTATCCTAATTAGCTTTAGATAGCTGATTTCGCTGGGATGTGATTTGGTATAAATAATTTCTGAAGCGACCTCGGTTTGTTTCAGCAACGATCAAAAGTTTTGTGGGCAAAGCTAAGCCAAATACATAATACGTGTGACACTTACCTTGAGGCTGTTGATGTTGTGTCCGACACTTTGCATGGCTGGGCCAGAAAATATCTCCCTCTAGATGAGAGAAATGGAAATGGTCTTGAAGTAGATTATACGCTGAATGAAGCGACGGTGCATCTAGATTGCCGTCTCCAGACTATGAAACCGCGTACAGAAAAAAAACACAAACGCATTGAGCGCTTTTGAAAACTTTGCTTAGCCGTCAGGAAAAGCTAAAACTAGCAAACCCTGCCTAGAAATCAAGTTGAATTATCGACGATACGGCGTCCGACCCTCTCTGGAAGGTATAGTCTCAGGAATGGCCATTAGAAGGGTGCGGCTCGCACAAATACCACCCACATATGCGATACCTCTCTCAAGGAAGTGGTGAATGTCGCGTTGAATGTGATTACAACTTTATTCGTTTCGAACGAGGTCCCGGGAGTTTGGGCTATGTGAGCACGCCAGAAGTGATACAAAAAAAATCGGTCTTGCCGATGGTGATGAGATCTATTAGCTGCTGAGCAGCTTCGGCACTCGCAAATATTCCATCAATGGGAGTACAGATATTAGTGCATTGATGCCCGAACGAGATGCTTTAAGAGGTATCCGTCGAATTATTTTCATAGCTGTGAACACTTTTATTGCAGCAACTATCGCTTCTTTCAATGCGCCAGTGTTCTGAGCTATTTGAGGCAGCAACAAACAAAAGCTTTTCAAGCGTGTGCAGTTGACCTTGGAACAGGTAATCGAGCAGCTGTTTCATCCCCACTGACTACAAGTGTCATCAGTCTCAATGGAGAAGACACACAAAACGCTTTGACTCAAATAATTAGCATAACCAAACGAATACTATTAGATTTAGCCTTCCATTTTGGAGCAGAAACGGGAGTATCAAAATTACGAGTCACCTAGGTTGCTCAGTTGTTATATTTTAGCGTGCATATATGTACGATTAATCATATAATATATAAACGCGTTAATCTCGCTAACAACTTAGCCATCTTAATTATTCAACGTACGGCTAGCCACTCACGTGTAACATGAACTTTACTTTAAGGATCCCTTTTCTTTATTACATTCGATATTTCAGTATCCTTAAATATTCTTATCACACAAAATACTAGCTATAACCTTTTTGGATGGCTTACGAAATGCGCGGCTTGTGCCTACATCTTCTGCTATACACTACCATTTCCAGAAAAGATGTGGGGTTCACATTGAGTGCGGAATAAAAGTGTTGTATCGCAAGGGCCAGATGGGGTACTAGAAGTAGAAGATTTGTGAGTGCATCAGAAGCAATGTACTATT